TTTATGATAAAAGTGTAGCTCTTTATGAATATAGTATAGCTCTTTTTGGTCTCTAGAAATGTAGAGAGTAATTTGACCCAGTCATTTTACATCAAAAGAAATCAGTTACGTTGTGTGTAGTGTGATGTTTGATCAATTATTTATACAACTGATAGGTTATAAATAAGGAGATATATGATTGCATAAAGTATGGTGGAGCAATAGAAATCAGTTATGTTGTGTGTAGTATGATGTTTGATCAATTATTTATATAACTGATAGGTTATAAATAAGGATATATATACGATTGCATAAAGTATGGCGGAACAAAGTGTAGCACCTTATACCGAAGTATAAGTCTTTATCTAAAAGTGTAGCTCTTTATGCAATCGTATAACTCTTTGTGACCAAAGTGTAGCATTTTATGAACATAGTATAGCTTTTTCACTCTCTAAAAATGTAGAGAATAATTCGACCCAGTCATTTTTCATCAAAAGAAATCGGTTATGATGTGTGTGTCATTTTTCATCAAAAATACTTGGTTAAGATGTGTGTAGCGTGTTGTTTTGATTAATTATTTATACAACGGATAGGTTATAAATAAGGAGATATACAATTATATAAAGTGTAGCGGAGCAAAGTGTAGCACTTTATGCCGAAGTATAGCTCTTTATCTAAAAAGTGGAGCTCTTTATGCAACTGTATAGATCTTTATGACAATGTAGCTCTTTATGAATATAGTATAGCTTTTTAGTCTCTGGAAATGTAGAGAGTAATTTGACCCAGTCATTTTATATCAAAAGAAATCGGACATTGTGTATAATGTGCTATTTGATCAATTATTTATAAACTGATATGTTGTAAATAAGGGGATATACGATTGCATAAAGTATGGTGGAGCAAAGTGTAGCACCTTATGCCGAAGTATAGCTCTTTATCTGAAAAGTATAGTTCTTTATGCAACTGTATAGCTCTTTATGATCAAAGTGTAGCTCTTTATGAATATAATATAGCTCTTTTTCTACGTAACAACGTTAATTCTTATTCATAAAACGTGACATCTGATATCGTTGAACCTCATACACATGTGACATATATAAATATTACGCATCAACCAAATATCGCAAAATTATCAAATAGCACTAGCTTTGGAATAGAACAATACCATGAGCTATGATTGATACACATTTGATACAAAATACAAGATCTAAAATACATTTATAGACATATAACCACTGACGACCCATCATATAACCACTGGCAACCCATATAAGTTCAAAAATAAAAATATCTGATATATGATGAATCATATTAATCTGAATAATCATATATTCTCGGTACACATGCATACTTATGTTATAAGTATACAGACTAACATAATATTAAAAAAAGAAGACATCTTCAATACAAATAATGTTTCAAATATCATTTTACTTTTTTCAGTGTTGTTTCCCCTAACTACTTTAGCTGCACCAGCAAGATTGTCAAGGCTCTCGTGTTGCAACATAATAAACATCTCCATGGGTTTCCTTCGAAAGGAACCGCGGTTCTTCATACATAAGATTAGTGGTAGATCTTCAATGATTATATCATGCTCTAACTCTCCTCTACCAGTTCATAAAATCATACCTAGAAGAAGGAAAAAATTAGTATGCTCATACTAATAGGTAAACAATAAAAAATACACATTCTCGTATCAAATATCTGAAGCAAGCAGTGAACTACTGCTGACCTGTTTACACTTCTAGATGAGGCGCTTCGAAGTTTACTACTTTAAGGCTATCCAGGCTATCCAATTTCTGATTATTCCTCAATAAAGAAACATGTTTTAAACAATATGGAACCTTTAAACAAAAGGATGTAAGGACTTAGAATAATTAGTTCCGAGTTCATGATAAAATTAAAACTCTTATAATTCTTCCAGACTCTCATGATAAATATGAACATCCTTAATACAATTACTGAAAATATTTGAAGAAAGTTAATTCAAACAAACAAATAGCAAACAGAACCCAAATAAATATGAGCTAGCCCCTAACTATGCTTAGCAATAAACAAAAATTCAAGCTATAGGTTGATCAACACAATGTACATGGATAAGTTGTGTACACCAATAGATATTAAAAATTTTCAAATTTTGATATTTTTACCTCAACGCAACAAGACCAAGTGACAGAAAGATTTGATCTTTCCACTTCGATCAACCACAAGAAAAAGCAGATGCAAGATCAAATCTTTCCACCTCCAACCAACTTCTTTGTCCATAAGTTACCACGTGCAATAGTAAAATAAAGAGCCAAACAAGATCAAAAGAGCAGGATAAAATTAGAAATTGCCATCAATTTTAGTCGCTTTCAGTAACACAAGTCCCATCTCCCACAATGTACGTACAAATTACAACAAACCATAGAAATCTCTAAACTCAAAGGAACTCAAAAGCTCACAAAAATTAAAAACTGAAATCTTAAATTAGCATTTGGGACCAAACCTAAAAACTCCTCTAAGCCTCCAACAAACCCTAAAGTCGCCCACTTGAAGCAAAACCCACGTCAGCAAACGAGGTTTTCACCTTCAGCAGCCTTCCCCTCCCCCTCTTAACCCCGATGACTTGTGCAGCTACCGTCACCGGCAACATCACTACCCCATCCGCCCTGTCCTTCTTCGGCTTGGGATTTTTGAGATCTGAGAATCGCCTCTTAGAGTTATGGGAATCGATTATATTTGGGGAAATGAAACGAACGAGAGAGATACCACTGGTTATATTTGGGAATGAAGGGCAATTTAGGGATTTTTATTTTATTGGGAAAATACAGTATAAAATGGGTGAATTATACATATTGGGTTTAAAAATAAATGGCATGAGATACGTTGGGTTTATGAATGTTTATATAAGTGGGTGGGTTTTTAAATAAGTGGGGGTTTGGGTTAAAAGAGAAAAAACCCTTCAATTTATAAAAATACAGCTCAGCTTGTCATCACAATATAAAATTATAATCCTTGATTATGAGTTTCAAGATTCTCCACCTGCAAATTAATTTTTATAAATTCAGTCTACCAATGATCTTGGATGAGTTGTCGCCATCCCTTTCTTATCATTTCCTCCTCTAGAAATTGATGTGGGCAATCGGCAAACATATATTATAACCAACTTTCTATAGGTTAAATATTCGTAATATGAAATGGAAGATTTTCTTCTCCTCCTTCTTGAATATATATATGGAAAGGATTATATCAGCTTATACTTTGGATTGCATTGCTTTCTCAATTCGCTTCCGATGTGAGAATCAGCTTTACCACGAAATTGATGCTATTGTGCTACATGAATGATTGTGAAGGGTGTAAGTGACAACTCAACTTTTGCTTTCTCATTTGTTGATTCACCACAAAATGACGAGGACTGAAACACATACTGATATGTAGGACACAATGTCAAATGATTTTGTGCTTATATATTTATTGCGACATAATTGGAAGAAAATATCTGATTATTCTAGTTCACTATAGTAATGGCTAAATATCCATATTGGTATTTGAGCTTTGCTACAGGGACTCAAAATATGGGACCAATAGAGGGGACAAGTGAGGTGTCTCCCTCCTATTGGATAATGAGTTGGTCATCATTAATGATGGCCAACTCATTATCCAATAGGAGGGAGACACCTCACTTGTCCCCTCTATTGGTCCCATATATTGGGTCCTTGAGGAATTTTTCTTGGTTATTTTAATTCCATTTCATTTACAAAGAAGATATTTTAATTAGGCAAACCTGCTTTAATGCATTTTAATTGATTCAGCTTACCAAGAAGGTCATTTTTCTCGTCGGCGACCAGTTTTCTGACGAGAGCTCGTCACGTGCGTGGCACGTGATGACTTAAACTGATTTTTAGCTGCTAATGTGGCACGGATCTGTCCTATTTTGGGTGAATTGAGATTTTTAGAGGGTTAATTCCCACCTTTAAACACCACCACGTTAGAAAATACGTGCCACATCAGCAGCTAAAAAACAGTTTAAGCTATCATGTGCCACGCATGTGACGAGCTCTCGTCGGAAAACTGGTCGTCGACGAGAAAAAGGGTCTTGTTGGTAAGTTGAATCAATTAAAATGTCTTAAAGCAAGTTTGCCTAATTAAAATACCTTCTTGGTAAATGGGGTGGAATTAAAATACCAATATGGGTATTTAGCCCTATAGTAATAATAATCTACTCCTCTATACTTAAAAGTAAAATCCAAAGAAATATTATTCATACTACAGTAAATACTATAGTATGAACAGTAATCGAGATTGATCTTCGCTCGGAGTTACTGTTCATACTACAAATAATTTGATGTTGCATAAACAGTGAAGTAAATCTGCTCCTCCATATTTGAAGTTACTATTTATGCACCAGTAATTTACTGTGTCATAAACAGTAAAGCAAATCAATTGTATTAAGACTTAGATCCTTGCTTAAGTATAGATGAGTAAATATGACTTTTAAATCAAATGTATTAAAATTTAGATCATTCTTTAAGTATAAAGGAGTAGATATGATTTTTAATTTTAAGTATACAATAACTAAATTAAATGTATTAAAACTTAGAGAGATGCAAGTTCAAAATGCATTGCTTAAAAAAATAGGGGGACGTGCTTTGCGCGGGGTGCACGCTAGTAATAAACTAAAGAGAAGTCTATTTTTGGACCATTAAATTTGGGAAAATCCACATCTAAGGATATAAATCTTTAGTGCACCATTAACGCAAAGGACCTGACTTGTTGGATAGTAAAATAGAAGAAATAGATCATCTTAAATTCTATGCAGTAACATGATATTTCAGTGGAAATCTCTTGGAGTGTGAGTGTGACCACGCGAACAATATTATCCTCTACCTTTTTGTCAGCTGGAATACAAATCATATAATGAATTATGTCATATGCGTGATAGAAGAATAGATTAAGTTGAATGTTATCACTTATACGAATATATATATATATGATTGTAGTAACAACTGCAAGGTCTGACCAAACAAAATATATGTACAAAGAGAAGCTCAAAATGGAGGATCAACAAAATTACCCTTTTTATTCAAAAGTAACATCTATAGGCTTCTTCTCTAGTTCTATATCAAGAAGTCAGTGTGTACGTAATATGTCACACGACAAAATGTAAGCCCATTAGCAACGCCATGTATCCTACGACTCCTAACCATTTTCTACTCCCACCAGAAGTTGATCCAGCTGTGTTCTGACCGGGGCCAGAAGCATTGGATGTGCCCGGAGGCGAAATGAGCGGAGGGGACGGTGGGGTCAGGCCAAGGCCATTGCAGTCTGATCCGAGATAGCCTGAAAACGTTAGAGAGAAATATCTTTGGCATCAATCATGAGAACGTGGAGGATAGAGAGTAATAGAGATAAGAGAGCGGGCAAGAGGTTCTACACTCTTGAAAGCATGGCATTTTTGGTAAATTAAGTAGGTTGTATGCTCCAGCATTGCAATTGCACTTGTGACCTTTATCATTGTCTGGTACACATGTTCCATTTCCACACCATGCAAAGTTGCAGGCTACAAGATTTCACGATAAAATGATTTAGATGTGCGTCGATTCGCGTATATATATATTTGCGTTCTAAAAGAAAATAATCTTTAGATGTGCATCGATTCACTCAATCAGGAAATGAAAGAAGATGTAGAGAGAGAACATCTATATTTACATAGATTTGGATTGCCATATTGATTCACTTGAGAAAAATTAACCAGGAATTTGTGCAGCTTCATACAGGGCAATATACTTAGATATTTATTTTCCAAGAAGTGAACAAAAAAAATGTCATAGTCACATGAATTTTCATAATTAATTAACTCTATGCTGTCAGTTCTCACAAACATCCTGTATGAAGCAGTGCTCTGAAAATAAAAGCTAATCTAAGTTCCTATATTTTCCAACTGTTTGCCATTTCTATGTAAAAGATTAATTATAATCTAGTATACGACCATAATATAATTTCTTCAAAGAAAACAAATGAATAATTACATTATTTCAAATAATTATCCAAGATAAAAACTTACGATCAGTGAGGTTAGTTGGTAGGGAAATATTTGTCGGTATCTGTGGCATGCCACAATCAAAATTAACTGAACCTGCAAATCAAAAGTAAGAGAAAACCATGCCTAGTTACAATTCTATTAAAAAAATTCAGGAATAGGCGAAAATTAAGAAGAGAGAACCCACAGTTGGGTATTATGCAAGGTGGAAATATAGTTTTGTCCAATAGCTTGAGCTGAGTCCATCCAGGATGACAATCACAATCAAAGAACGGGGGCACATCAACTGAACTATTGCAAGTTCCTTCACCACAATCAACAATTTTGCATGCAGCATCTTCATTCATAAACCAAAAAAAAAACTAGTAAACTTATCTGAAATTAAAGGAAAATAACATTGAAAAACAAAGGTATTGGCTACTACCTCCAATAAGATTAGCTTCACAACCGTGATAAATGAAGATAAAGATAAGAAGAAGGTGAAGAATGAAACCAAGTGTGTATTTGAGTTTCACCATAATTTTGGTCTGTGGAGAGAGGAAATGAAGAAACATATGGGACTTTAAATTGATATAGTTTAGTACAAGGAGTTTGAAAATTGGAGGGGATTACAATAGAAGCCAACAAAAAATGGTTGATATAAGCGAGGTTGTGTGTTTTGAGTGTGTTTCTTATGTGTATCTGGATGCTTGTTTGTTTGCCCTTGGTCAGAAATCAATTGATTGGAAACTCGTTTGGAACCAAGGAGGATTTCTCAAGGTATATGAGTGACTCGTATGCTACTATCTAAAATAAATAGAAAATTCAATAAATCACACAAAAAATTTGAGAAAATCAGTACATCACTTAGAAACAAAAAAAGGGTTAGTTCAGATCTTCTATAAATAAGAGTGCTATAGGAATTCCTAGATTCGTTTTCATTTATGTTTTTATTAAGACCCGCATTTAACACGTGCTTTGCACGTGATGCACATTAAGTAATGATATGAGACTAAAACATTGGAATGTCATCTCATATTGCATTCGCCTATGACTTTTTTTTAGAACAACGAAGAGGACTCAAACAAAGCCCCCAGCCACCCACGCTCACCATGGATTTATTGGCATTATGTTAGTTTTTCTTCCACAAAATTGAATACATGTATAACTAATAGATTGATTTTTTTTCGTAACTTAGAGGTGAAACCGGTTGCAGATCTGTCAGTTTCCTAAAAAAGCAATACAATTTTCTCTCTTAATTATCGTCTGTGAAATCTTATTGACTGCAAGGTATCCTGATTACTATAATCGAGGGACTGACTCCACTGTTAAAACTCTCGCTTCCTCCATTTTTTTTCTTTTGACTCTTTTTGTGTTTCCTTTTGTGCATTTGAGAATCCATATATAGCATATAATTTTATGCAACTCTTATCTAAGTGGAATGTTTATGGAAGTAGACAAGCCGTAAAATTATTAGTGCATAATTAATGAAGAAAATTTGATTAGTCAGTAAGAGAATATAGATGAATCCTTTAATTATAGATTTATTTTCTCACTAAAATTAATATTAAATGCATTATTTGTGGGTTTAGAAGGGGAGATGTCATAAATTACTTTATTAGTTATAGGATTCAATTATTGTATTGCAAATAGTTTTTTTAAGAAAAAAATATTAAGATACATCAGAACTAATTTGAAAACCCAGAAGCACAGCAAAAGAATGAGAATTAACACTACTCTTTATCAGATTGTAAAATATTGTGTAAAAATGATGGTGAGTCTTCGAGCAATACCACAAAATCATTAATTTTATTAGCTCTTCGGACCAACACACGAGCCGTTATATTCTCCATTGACGAACTATCTAAAAACCTCATTCCTTGAGTCATATGCAACTTCGTTGAATATCATCCATAAAGTGTCCGAAAATCGAGTGTTGCTCCACCCCATTATGGATATCTCTAATTCCCGCATCTGCATCTTCTTCAAAAATTATTTTTCCCCATCCAATGTCAAGAGCAAATGTAATAGTTTCCCACACTGTTTGGAATTCTGCATGCTTAGAATTACGTATCCAAATACTATGATACGTATATCGCAATAGTTAGTACTATATATTATGATAATTTATATGCTATTTCTAGACTACACCAAGAGGTAAGCATTTGTATTGGTATTCCTCTCCATGGATTTTTTACACATCAGATATGATTATTATCTTATATATTATAATTGTATATTTATTGTGTAATATCTAATATCTAAAGTGAAATATTTATCATATTTAACATAACACTAATATTGATAAATTTTATAATATATCAGTTCTTATGTTTAGTACAAGAATAATTATAGTGTAATAAATAGAATGAATTGAATAAAATTTATGATTAAAATTTATAGTATATATTTAGTTCTTAGTATTAGTTCTCATGTTTATTTTAAGAATAATTATAGTGTAATAAATAGAATGAATTGAATAAAATTTATGATTAAAATTTATAGTATATATTTAGTTCTTAGTATTAGTTCTCATGTTTATTTTAAGAATAATTATAGTGTAATAAATAGAATGAATTGAATAAAATTTATGATTAAAATTTATAGTATATATTTAGTTCTTAGTATTAGTTCTCATGTTTATTTTAAGAATAATTATAGTGTAATAAATAGAATGAATTGAATAAAATTTATGATTAAAATTTATAGTATATATTTAGTTCTTAGTATTAGTTCTCATGTTTATTTTAAGAATAATTATAGTGTAATAAATAGAATGAATTGAATAAAATTTATGATTAAAATTTATAGTATATATTTAGTTCTTAGTATTAGTTCTCATGTTTATTTTAAGAATAATTATAGTGTAATAAATAGAATGAATTGAATAAAATTTATGATTAAAATTTATAGTATATATTTAGTTCTTAGTATTAGTTCTCATGTTTATTTTAAGAATAATTATAGTGTAATAAATAGAATGAATTGAATAAAATTTATGATTAAAATTTATAGTATATATTTAGTTCTTAGTATTAGTTCTCATGTTTATTTTAAGAATAATTATAGTGTAATAAATAGAATGAATTGAATAAAATTTATGATTAAAATTTATAGTATATATTTAGTTCTTAGTATTAGTTCTCATGTTTATTTTAAGAATAATTATAGTGTAATAAATAGAATGAATTGAATAAAATTTATGATTAAAATTTATAGTATATATTTAGTTCTTAGTATTAGTTCTCATGTTTATTTTAAGAATAATTATAGTGTAATAAATAGAATGAATTGAATAAAATTTATGATTAAAATTTATAGTATATATTTAGTTCTTAGTATTAGTTCTCATGTTTATTTTAAGAATAATTATAGTGTAATAAATAGAATGAATTGAATAAAATTTATTAGGTTATAAAATCCAATACTCAATAGTTATGAGTTAGTTTCAGAATTCAAGACCCGCTTTAACTAGATATTAGTAACAACTTGTACCATTAATGTAGGTTGAATTGTAGAAAGGTTGAAAAGATAATGAATCAATTTGAGTTTTGGGGAAGATAAATCTTATTATTATCCTCTTCCCCCCTGATCGTTATTGTCCATGGAGAGCAAATAAATTTTCCTGACTCTAAATTTCTTCCCATACAACGATTACATGGCTAATTTAAGCCACAAACAATAAGGAAATCAGGAGAAGCTAATAATGTGAAAATCAACAAGTTAAACAAAACAGACAGCTTAGATTGGGACTTTCACTAGGTGAGATCTCAATCATCAGCAAGACACCCACAAAGTACAAAAAATAAATCAATTCAATTGGATCACTCACCAGGGATTTGAAGACAGATTATTTCCTCAAGAGAAAAAGCTCGAATTAAAAGATCGGAACATTATTAAGCGTATGTACTAAAAAAACAACTTGAGATAAATTGCCTTAAAACCCAGTGCTTTTAATAAACAAAGCATCAACTCCTAATCTGAAGTCCCACAAGAAAATACATAAGCAAACATAAAGAAGCCATTTGCAAGCACGAATGTAAGGACCATAGTCACCGTATCCGGTTAAACTAGTACCAGCTTTGCAAGAATTATTATTTATGAATACGACATCCAAACAATTGCAGTAGAATAATGAATACTACCAAATATTTCAACAAACATATCTGTATGTATTAATAATGCATACTGATATATTTTGAAATTATATGAAGCTGCTCAGAGTAAAAATCTCTCTAGTCTCTTTTAGACTACAACCAAGTTCTCGTTGATGGAAACAAGTTTACATTACACAGAGCAAACTACCTTAAAAGACAACTCTTGAACAATACAGGAAATGGCATCCAAATACACATATTTTATCAAGGATAATTACAAACCTTGCAGTAGGGATTGCAAGCTTTTTAAGCTGAGCCAAACTCATGAAACCACTTCTCATGGCGTTGGATATCAGTAGCAGAAACACTTCTCTGGACTTTTTTCAGAGCTTCCTCAAAGTCGCACATGGTGACAGGATCATTTGAGATCTCATCCTTCGGCATGTTCTTGATCTCATCTCGTGTCTTCCCTGCAATCTTTCGTCTCATGCCATTCAATGAAGCGTCACGACAGACATTTGTAAGGTCATCTCCACTATAACCCTCGGTTCTACGAGCCACATCATCGATATTTACATCTGCGGCAACCTGATAAGAGAAGGGAATTCAGAATGACATCTAACTGGAAAAAAAATACATTTTTACAGGCAGCAAGTCATACCTCCACAGTTCTTAAGTTGATCTTGATAAGCTCCTTACGACTCTCTAAATTGGGAAGAGGTATATATATTCTCTTTTCCAGCCTTCTCCTGTGATTAATCATCCAAAAAAGGTTTACAGGGAACACATAGAACAGCCTCTGAAAGCGAACTAGAACATGAACAGCCAGGAGTGTTAAAAGTTAGGGTAAAGTTCACAAGACTCCCAAAAAGTTTGGCCCATTTTGAGATAACCCCCAAAAATGTGAAAATGTCACTTGATGCCAAAAAGTTTTGGGACTTCAGCAAAAAACCTCATAATTTTTGAATTTTTTCCAACAGTCCCACCTAACAGCATAATAGGGGTTTCTTGAAACTATATCTGTCGAAAAAAAATTGGGAGTTATGTCATTTGGATGGAAGTTGAAGAAACTGATTAGCATATTTTATTGCATCTCTATACCTCTATTTCAAATAAAGTTTCATACAAATAAATCATCAATATTGTGTTTTCATCATTTTTGTAGGAAATCAAGAAATTGAGGAAAATTGAAGAAAATAAAGAGGAGCTAAAATGAAGACTATCCCAAGCCTAAAAGAGGACAAGAGAAGTCCAAGAAATCCATGAAGAAAAATCAGTAAAAACTGCAAAACGGATCAAGTTAGAATCGATGCCAACATCAAATACCGGTATCAATACCCCTATCAATACTGGTATCGTTACTAACTCAACAGGCGGGAAAGCTCAATCAAAGGCTGATTTTGATTGCCATGACGTCCAAGTTTGACACAATGGTTGATATGTGCTCCTTGAAGCTATAAATAGAGGTAGAGAGTGAGGGTGAGCGGTGCGAAAATTTTGTAAATCCTCTTCTAGGGATAGGAGGGTGTTATTTTGTACCTTCCAAATTTTATAAAACTTTAGCTTTTGCAATAAAAATAATACTTTTTCCTCTTCAAATTTCTTCTTCTTTGATTTTGTTATTGTAGATTTGAAGATATTTCGGATCTACAAAAGAGCTCAACCACTCTTAATGTGAGTTTTAATTTCTAATTTTTTTGATTAATTAGATATGTGCATGCTTAGGTTAAATTTCTTGTCTTGCTTATTTTCATGCTTAATAATTAGGTTTAATTCCATGCTTAGATAATTAGTTTATTTCCTTGATTTTTATAGCTTTTCATAATTAGTCAATTTCCTTGTTTTTTATTCATGCTTCTTTTACGCATAATTTAGGAATTAATAAAATGTGTGGCTAAATTTCTTTGGATAATTAGGATAAGATGAAACTAGTATAACTTGTTTATTAGATTTAGATTTGCTCTCTTTTATGCTTAAGTTTCTCATGTTAGAATAATTTCCTTTTAAATAGTAATTGTAGAATAATAAAGTTTCATTAATTATGCTTTCTTTAAATGGTTTGATAACCTATGCTTCTTTTATTATTCTAGAATCGCTTCTTGATTTTATTTATTCTATTCAAGAAATCTGATTTGATTTTTAGATTTAATTTGATAAATTACCCTTACTCCAACTAGTTTGATAGTTTATGCTTATTAATTCTAAGGAGTAATAAATAAATAAAAGAGTAATTTCTAGATCTAATAAACAATTATCTAGTGGAATCTATCCTAATTACCTACTCTTATTCACTTGTCTTTTTCTCTTTAATTTCCTTAGTTTCATTATAGTTGTTTTCTTAGTTTTTATTTTCTTTTAATTTTTGCATTTCATTCTAGTCCTTTTATTCTCGTCTCTATTTTCTTTCTTTCATGGGTAAATTACACTAAATCCCCCTGAGTTTTATAGGTTTGACAGAAAATCCCCCTGAGGCTTTGAAACTAACACTTTCTCCCCCTCATTTTAAATTGCTTATGTTATGGGTCACACGACACCCAAGTGATTCTTTTAATGCCTAAAATACCCTCTCTTTCTCCCCTAAAGGGAAAAATATCCTTGTTTCTTTCTTTTTCTTTTCTTTTTTTTTTGGCAAATTGTATTTATCCCTGTTAAAGTTTTTGCATAGTTGCACTTATCCCACCTAAAGTTTTAACTTTCATCAAATTCTCTTACAAAGTTTATTTTGTAAGCATTTTTCAATCCTACAACTTAAAAATGACTACATGATTGTTTCTGAGACAAATGTACCACGATTAGTTTCAAAGTCTGAAAAAGATATAAATCAAAGGTAATGTAGACTATAAATAATATATCTATGATATTTTCCTTCTTAATCACTACTAAGGTAATCAAAGTGATGAAGAATTTTTTCTAGAAAAAATGAAGAAAAGTTGGGGTATAATTGCAAGTATGAAAATTTTGGGAGAGGGAAATACAATTTAACCAATAAAAAAGAAGAGAAAATATGCTTATTACTTCTATTTAGATAGAAAGGGGTATCTTTGGCATTAAAGGGTCAGGTGAGTGTCATGTGGCTTATTAGAATGAAAATTTAAAAAGAGGAGGAGAAAGTGTTAGTTTCAAAACCTCAGGCGGATATTATGTCAAACCTATAAACCTCAGGGAAATTTAGTGTAATTTACCCTTCTTTCTTTCTCTTGTTTTTATTTTCTTATCTATTGCATATATTTTCCTTTCCTTTTTCTCTTTTCTCGTTTTCTTTCCTTTTGCATTTTAATTTCTCTCCTCTCTCCCTCTTTCTTATTTTTATTTTCTTTTTCTTAACAAAAATACAAAAACCCATTTCAACCCTTTTTTTCCAAAACCCCTTTTCAATCAACCTTTTCAAAAGGAAAATTTTTAATCTAAAGAGAAAAAAAACCTTCCTTGTGGTTTGACATTCTGAAATACAACTTTTGTCGTGCACTTGCAACACACTTATTTTTATACAGAACACTTCAATCATTATGAGGGTTTTGTTGATGGCCCAAAAGTTTTGCAGGTTAAGTGACAGTTTCAAATTTTTGGGGGGTTATCTCAAAATGGGCCAAATATTTTTGGGGTTTTGTGGAAATTACCTAAATAGTAACAAAAACTATCAAAGTGATACCAACCTGAGTGCCTCATCAATATCCCATGGGAAGTTAGTGGCTGCCAGTACCATAACTATTTTTTTTGCACCATCATCACCAGTAGAGCTGTTGTTCACGCCATCTACCTGTACTAGAAGCTCAGACTTCACCCTTCTTGATGACTCATGTTCTCCTGAAGCCCTGCAGATATATAACTCTCAGATGTTCAGAGTATCAGAGGATCAGAAATTGCATATTCATTCCAGCCCACAATCCTATAGGTACTTGCATTTGCAAAAGCAAAAAACAAGAGGCCAGGAGAGGTATTTGGCATTTGGAAGCATCAATCTTATTGAAAAGATGAGGAAGAAAATGGGGAAGAAAAGGAAAGAAACAATAAAAGGAAAGGTCCCAGTAGTTAATAACAATTTTCACCGAGGTCATTCTCACTGGTAAAGGCATGGGCTTGGGTTGTGGGATTTCCCAGGTTAAATACTGAAACTAGCTTTTTTATTAAGAAAAAAAAGGAGGATAGAGCTTAAGCTAAACAGAAGAAAGAAATAAAGCATTGACAGAGCATACCACAAAGCATCAACCCATACATTATTAAGCACACTCGGTTAATTATAACATAAGACTTTAAGTAAACCATTTATCTGATATTTTGGACAAAATAAACCTATTTGACTAAAAGCAAATCAAATGTTATAGACAGTTTGAAAAGATGTGTAGTCAAGGAAGTGCAATCTCAGAAGTGACAAAGCTCCATAACATATGCTTACGTTAAACGAGGAAACTGCTGCACATCCCCTTGATATGCTAATGCCTTGCCTGATAAAAGCTACCTTGAAGTAGCACCGTGGTATTTGACAAACTAAGGTGAGACTATACTGGTATGGAAAAAGCTTCAATAGCTTATGGTTCATGTCCTTGCATTTCTCTTTGCAAATGTATTTCCTAGCATATGCATTAATTTGTAAATTTTCATGTGTTGTTAATAAACATCACCATTTCCAGAAAATGATGGCACATATTAGAAAAGCATAAAATGTCAAAGAAACAGGATCGAAAACAATAGGTTCCGCGTATATTACCCTCGAGCATTGCAGACAGAATCAATTTCATCAATAAAAATGGTACTTGGAGCATAAGCTCTTGCAAGATCAAACAGACATCGAACCATGCGTTCACTCTCCCCACGCCATTTTGAAGCCAAAGTAGCTGAAGAAACATTGAAGAATGTCGTTCCGCATTCGGTAGCCACAGCCTTAGCCAGAAGTGTCTTTTCAGTACCTGGTGGACCAAACATAAGAACACCTTTCCAAGGTCGACGAACTCCCTGAAAAAACATGTCATCGTTATAAGTACATCAACATTAAAAATTCTACATTAAAATTAAGGGTTTTTCTTATATTGGTCCCTCAAATCTAACCTATTCTTAAATAGGCCCCCCAAATTTCATGTATTTTAAATTAGTCCTCCAAAGTTATAAGTTTTCTAAAATAAGTCCTGAAAATCTCATATATTCTAAATAAGCCCCTCAAATCTACAAGTTCTCCTAAATAAATCCTTTTAGGTTAAATTTTATTAATTCAAATTCAAATTAACTAACTACATTAATCGTGTGAGTTGTATCCTCATCCTCCCCCAGATAGCTACACCTAATACCCACAACGAAGTGCAATAGAGACTCCTCAACAAACAGCAAACAGGGGAAGAAAAATATGGAGGATATCAAGGGAAAATAAATAGAAAAAAGGAGGGCAAAACATACAAGATTAACGGAATTTAGTTAACTTTCAGTTAAGTTAAAAAGGATTAGCGTTGGGGACTTGTTTGATAAAACTTATAGAGTTGTAGGGACTTATTTAAAATATATAAGCATGGACTTGATTAAGAGAACTTATGAATTTGGGGGACTTGCTTAAAAAATAAGCAATTTGGGGGACTTATTTAATATTAAGTTAGATTTCCGTAGAATTCACCTGCAAGAATGTTCTCTTGCATGGGGAGAAACTATGCTTATCTCCCCCACCCCCCCAAAAAAAGAAAGGCACTGTATTCTACGAATATTCTATTAAATAATGACAATCTGATGCATCCTAACTCCTAAGTAGTTAGGGAGAGTAATATTCAAGAAACTGCATGCGAAGACATCATACGCTACAAAAAGTAGGATGTTCATTTTCTTATGCCAGTAGAAAACGCAGATAAGCATTGACAGTTCAAACTCGATATGCGCCTGAAAATACTCAGGCATCCATAGAGGAAGAACCATAGCTTCTTCTAGAAGTCGTTTAGCTTCGTTGAGTCCTGCAACATCATCCCACCTGACACCAGGACTGGTCTCCAATACATCTCTCTCCAGCATTGCAGCCAGATCCGCATCAGGTCCTTCGTACTGCCCCTTAGTTTGTTTCCCATCATCAGTGTCACCATTCTACAAGTGACACAAGAAAATCAATAGCAGGAGTAGAACACATCAAGACATAAGCCATATACCTACCCATGAAAACTTTCTTGATTGCATTAGCCAGAATAGTATAAAAGAAAATGTGTGTCAAAAGAGATACCCACTTAAAGAACAAGAAGACATAAAACCTAACAAAGAAAATAATAATAGTAGTGTGCAAATGGTTTGATGGTATCTTCTTGCAAACAATGCTTATAAGGAAGTTCTCTAACCTGTTGGATATCTTGTCCCAAGATATAATTTTGATGATAACAATTTATTTACTATGTGTATTATATATGCACTAACATATCAATGCAGATAACAATATCCGATATGCTCAAGATATGTGAACTAAGTGCAGGGATGAGTTCAAGGCAACAAGACAAGCAAAGAAGAATATGTGCGTAATTGTCAAATTGTATTTTATTTTCTTTGTTTAGATTCTTGTAAAAGCCTTGATCACTCACAGCACATTCACGCACATAGTATTTAGAACACACTAACACATGCTTAGTGTGTGGTTAACTATACAAATCCCCTAAGTTAACCATTAGAGTTTATAGATATAGAGTGAGTCTCAAAACATATCAAATATCTCATATCTATGTATCTGTAGTCGACTAATACCCTTAGTAGTCGATTATAAAAGCCTTAGTCAAAGTTATAGAAACTTCATATTTATAGATTAGTCGACTACTATGCTTAATAGTCGACTACTCATTCAGTTCAACTTACAGAAACTTAAGTTTTACAGATTAGTCGACTAATGCCTTAAGTAGTCGACTACTAACCCTGTTTCTTAACTTCACAGAGTCTGAATAGACTCAGTGTAGTCGACTACTAAGCTTAGTAGTCGACTACAAAGACAGTTTTTCTAACTGTTCTGAATTTGAATAAGTGAACGTTTATAGTCATTTTTAAACGTTAATTGGTTTAAAATTTGAATATTTCAGAGGCTATAATTAAGTTTTAACATCAGAATTTGTGTACTAACATTAGTAGATACAAGATTCGAATTTTGATAAAATTCATTCTCTCTTGATTGCCTTTGTTCTCCATCATTATTAGAAATTGTTTAGACAATTTTTCAGAGAGTTTAAATTCCTAAACCACTACTGCACTTCACATTCAGATCAAGGCTTATAGGGATTTGTACATTTCTTCATAGAAAATTTCTTTCGGGTTTGAGAGAAGATCTCTTGGTGCAGAGATTGGTGTTGTAATTTGCAGGGACTTGGAATTGATCAGTTTTGATTTTGTAATTAGTTTCAAAATCATAGTGAAAATCTCAAGTGGGATTTGCTTGAGGACTGGATGTACACCAAGGAGGTGAAACCAGTATAAAATCTATTGTTTGTGATTGTTCATTTTCTGAGATTGTTGTTCGTTATTCTTGCAAGTTGTTATTCTTGCAAGTTATAAATCATCTTGTAAAATTTTAAATAACACTATTCAACCCTCCTCTAGTGTTTAGTGTGTGCTTCCGCAGATCCTACAATTGGTATCAGAGCAAGGATTACAATGATGACAAATACATTACAATTCAAAGAAGGTCACTCCACACAACGACCACCACTATTCGATGGTACAAATTACAACTACTGAAAATGTTGGATGAAGATCTACCTCCAATCACTTGGCTACGATCTTTGGAACATCGTTGAGACAGAATTCACAAAGTCAACCACTCCATACACCGAATGGACACTTGCTCAAAGAACAAATGTGAATCTGGACTCCAAGACAATGAATGCGCTGTTTTGTGTCATGGACAAGAACGAGTTCAATCGCGTGTCTACCTCTACATCTGCACATCAAATTTGGCATACTCTTGAGGTAACACATGAAGGAACTAACAAGATTAAAGAATCAAAAATTTATGTTCTTGTTCACAAGTTTGAACTATTCAAGATGAAAGACAAGAAAACCATCACGGAGATGTTCACAAGATTTACAGATATCACAAACTCCTTAATTGCACTAAGCAAAGGCTACACTCAAGCTGAAATGGTGAGAAAAATCCTAAAAGCACTCACTCCATATTGGGAGAAGAAAACTACGGCAATTGAAGAGGTCAACGATCTTTCCACTCTCACCGTAGAAAACCTCATCGGAAATCTCATGGCCTATGAAATTCAACTCGATGATAGAAAGAAGGATGAAGAACCAAAGAACAAGAAAATTTTTACCTTCAATGCATCCTCGGACACCGAAGAATCTGAAGAAGATGATGAGGATATTGCATTAATCATAAAAAAATTCGAACGGTTTTTAAAAAAAGATAAGTATAAATCAAATAAGTTTAAGAATACTAATGATTCTTCTTTGTGTTTCAACTGCAATAAACCAGGACATATAAAGGAGTGTCCACTTCTTAAGTCAAAATCAAAGTCCACCAACTTCAATAACTTCAACGACTTCAAGAAGAAGAAGATTTTGGCAGTGATATGGGATGACAGCGATGCATCCTCTTCGGAAGAAGAACAGAAAGAAGAATCTGCTCACATGTGCTTCATGGCACACAAAAATGAAGTACCTCGAAAAGAAAAATGAATACTAGATAGTGGATGTTCCAAACATATGACGGGAAACTTGAATATGTTGTCTTCGGTGCAAAACAAGAAAGGTGGAACAGCCACATTTAGAGACAACAAGGGTAACGTTATAGGTATTGGAACAGCAGGTAATCCACATAAGCCTTTAATAGATAATGTTTTATTAGTAGAATGTCTTAAACATAATTTGCTTAGCATTAGTCAATTATGCGATAAAGATTTTAAAAATATTTTTGAAAAAGATACATTCTTGATTTATGATTCAGATTTGAATAATATCTTGTTTAAAGGCATTACGATAAAGATTTTAAAAATATTTTTGAAAAAGATACATGCTTGATTTATGATTCAGATTTGAATAATATCTTGTTTAGAGGCATTAGAAAGAATAATATCTATATTTTATCCATGAACTTTGTTTCTAATGAATTTTGTTTAGTTTTATCCAATGTTGATACATTATTTTAGCATAAACGTTTTGGGCATGTGAATATGAAAAATTTCACGCATTTCCAAACACAATTTAGTACATGGATTCATACTTCCATGGACCTCCACCTCCTCCAGGCTCTTCTTATTAGAGAGCATGCATTTCATTTTCACTATGTACCCAGGCTCTTCTTATTAGAGAGCATGCATTTCATTTTCACTATGTACCCAGGATCTTCTTATTAGAGAGCATGCATTTCATTTTCACTATGTACTAGTTCATGCTTAGTCTTAGTTTGTTTCAAACCTTATGTAGTAATTTGCTTAGTTTATTTCAAACTTTATGTAGTGTGTTTAATATATTGTGCTTTGTATGTTGTGTTCAACTAGAGCATTTGCTTATAATGTGAGATAAATTTATTTAGGAAATTTAAGAAAATATTTTAAACCAGATTGTGACGATGGAAGTTATCGAAATATTGATCTTTATAGCAAGTCTTTGCCTACCTATTTGAATGGGTTAAGTCATGGATTATGTTCACAATTTGGATGATTTATTTAAAGTTTTAGCTCATGAAGATGAAATTCTTGCATGCCTAGAATAATGTTTTTTTTTGTTAATGACAAAGGGGGAGATACACTATGATATACTATGATACATATGATTGATAAATGGGATTCTAAATGATACATATGATTAATACATGGGATTCTAATATGCTTTAATGCAGAGGGAGTAAGTATTGGATATCATAATATTTTTTCACGTGATATACTGTTACTAACTCCTACTATTGCTTAAATTGTTTGTCATCATCAAAAAGGAGAGAATGTTGGATATCTTGTCCCCAAGATATAATTTTGATGATAACAACTTATTTACTATGTGTATTATATATGTACTAACATATCAATGCAGATAACAATATCCGATATGCTCAAGATATGTGAACTAAGTGCAGGGATGAGTTCAAGGCAACAAGACAAGCAAAGAAGAATATGTGCATAATTGTCAAATTGTATTTTATTTTCTTTGTTTAGATTCTTGTAAAAGCCTTGATCACTCACAACACATACACGCACATAGTATTTAGAACACACTAACACATACTTAGTGTATGGTTAACTACAGAAATTGCTTAAGTTAACCATTAGAGTTTATAGATATACAGTGAGTCTCAAAACATATCAAATATCTCATATCTATGTATCCGTAGTCGACTAATACCCTTAGTAGTCGACTATAAAAGCCTTAGTCAAAGTTACAGAAACTTCATATTTACAGATTAATCGACTACTATGCTTAATAGTCGACAACTCATTCTCAGTTTAACTTACAGAAACTTAAGTTTTACAGATTAGTCGACTAATGCCTTAAGTAGTCGACTACTAACCCTATTTCTTGACTTCACAGAGTCTGAATAGACTCAGTGTAGTCGACTACTAAGCTCAATAGTCGACTACAAATATAGTTTTTCTAACTGTTCTAAATTTGAATAAGTGAACGTTTATAGCCATTTTTAAACATTAATTGGTTTAAAATTTAAATATTTTAGAGGCTATAAATAAGTTTTAACATCAGAATTTGTGTACTAACATTAGTAGATACAAGATTCGAATTTTGATCAAATTCATTCTCTCTTGATTGCCTTTATTCTCCATCATTACTAGAAATTGTTTATGTAATTTTTCAGAGAGTTTAAATTCCTAAGCCACCGTTGCACTTCACATTCACATCAAGGCTTATAAGGATTTGTACATTTCTTCAAAGAATGTTTCTCTCGGGTTTGAGAGAAGATCTCTTGGTGTAGAGATTGGTGTTGCAATTTGCAGGGACTTACAAATTGGTCAGGTTTGATTTTGTAATTAGTTTAAAAATCATAGTGGAAATCTCAAGCGGGATTTGCTTGGAGACTGGATGTACACCAGGGTGGTGGAACCAGTATAAAATCTTTTGTTTGTGATTGTTCATTTTCTGAGATTGTTGTTCATTGTTCTTGCAAGTTATAATTCATCTCGTAAAATTTTAAATAACACTATTCACCACCCCCCCTAGTGTTTAATGTGTGCTTCCGCAGATCCTACATAACTTGTTAAAAAGATTATAGACTGTGCTTTATAATGTGATAAACAACATCATTCTTCTTCTATTAAAAAAACATCATTTTTCTAGTGCAAGTCAGCAATAATGCTCCACAATGTGCCGGCAGAAGTTATTTCCACATTTAAGTCCTTAACAATTCATTTAAAGAAAATTTGTGTTGGCTAAAGTTATTTCCACAATATCCTAGTTGAACCTCATTTAGGCAGTTTTATCTTCATCTCGAGAACAAGATACATTAAAGTATTAGTATCTGCACATGTTCTGTGATCTGACATAGAACTGATTTCTGGTTTCTAAATCCATACATGAACTTTAAATGAAATCTTCTCGTATTGCATCACATAGGATCGGGTTTTGGTTGGACCTTAATCCATAATATTCATCGGATAATCAGATCTGGATATGCAAAAGGGTAAGCCATACCCTATCCATTACGGTATTACCTATCAGATTCAGATCGATTCGGTTCTACATCAATCTTTATTGAACATGATAAGTAACAAACAATGGTAAAAAGTTATACAAAGATCAAAAGATATTTTGAGAACAATTTGAGAATATATGTGCTATATTTTCTGGAAACAGATTTTGAATAAGTTCAGGTTTCAGTTTGTCAGATAACACCTAACCCAGATTACAATCAAGTGGATAAGCACAGATCTGGTAGTGAATTGTATCGTACCCTGACAACCAGGAATAATTCCTTAAGTCAAAAATAAGATACCATAACTTTAACTTGACGGCAAGCTAATGACTGTTAGATTTAGATGAGCACATTGATGAAACATGCACCCAATAAAAAGTAATCCTGAGAAAAGTATTCGCTGTCCAACATACTCAAATCAATGTGTTAAACCAAGACATGACATTAATAGAAGGGATATCAATTAACTCAAAAACAATCACCTGAGGATCTGTCTTGTTAGAATTTGATTTCCCTTTCTTCGCTCCAATGGAAGAAGCAGTTGATGATCAGACACTTGAGCTTCCTTTGCTTGCACTAGATTTTCCCCCACGGCCAGCTGCACCAGATCTAGAGCCACGAGCCCAAGTCGCATCTTGAGAGGACTTTCTTGCACTCGTTTGGCCAGCTCTAGTGGATCTTCTGCTCTGATCTCGGCTTGGTAGCCTCCAAACATCGGGATCATCTGGGGGCCCACCAGATGAAGTTGGATATTCATCCAATGGTTGGAAAACAAAGGAGGATTTTGTTTGAATTGGGGGTGACGATGGACGCCTGCTCCCTGGAGCATTCTTAAATGCCCTTATTTCAGCATCCAACTGTTTCACTATTTCTACTTCCTCAGAAATGGCTTTTTTGCAGTTCATCCATTTTGAACGAACTATCGCATCATCTAGTGTGCTCAGATGCCTGAGTACAGAGATAACGTTAAATGTACGTGAAGAGAAGCAGAAAGTTAACATTCAGAATTCTGAAGATTAGTATTATCATAGGAGTTGGTCACAGCAATATATCAAGGCACGTATAAGACGCTTCTCTCATTGATCAATTAATCATCTTCATCTTAGATATGTCATCTAAGATTCATCTTATTGACAAAAGAATTTCTACAATAGCTAAGGGTTTGAAATCACGTAACAAGCAAACATCCAAATCATACCTTTCTTGCTCTCCTGACACCAAAAACTATTGGATTTTCTTGTCAAAACCACTTTCCAAAAATAAGTTTTCAAACTATGTATTTATTAATTATTGGTATTTTTTAGAAATCCTTAGTAGCGTAGCGAAAAGTTAAAGTTTTGGTGTTTCAAAAGATCTTGTATTCGAGGCTTGCCAACGACAAGCCGAGAATTATTTTTATTCAATTAATCCCTCATAAGTTCTAGTGAGTCGTGGGTTATGAGTCGTGGGTCATGGATCGTGAGCTCGTAGGATTGTGGGCCAATGGGTTAGGGATCGGGGCTAATCGGACTGAGGCGCTAAGTGACGCTTTGTAAGGCGCACTCAGTATTGTAAAAAGCGGTGGATCGCGGCGCTATATCGCAGTCGTGGAGCTTCACCGCCCCGCTTAAGGTGATTGCAGGGAGTTAAGACGTAGAAAACCACTAATCGCTCGAAAAGCGCGGATAAGCGGCGGTTTAGCGCTTAATAGCACTCGCTACAGTTAAACCCTCTCCCCGACCCGTAACCATTTTACTTAAGCCCTCTCACTTCTGATTCCCAAACCCATCTATGCCCTAGCCGCCTCTCTCCTGACTC